GGGGATGTCCTGACCACTGGTTCTTACACAGCTTTTCTTCACTGCTGGAATGCAATCAAGACCATCTTTAAGTCTATAGTCCTGGCCCTGGATTTCATAATCCTTCAGCATATTTGCAGTACAGAAATGTGCATACTGCTCATATAAAGCAGGAAGGTCTCTGGCTGGGGCAGGCAGGCATGTGACCTTCAGGATGAGCAGGGTAGCATCAAGTGGGTGTGACTGGAGACCCTGGGAAAGCCAGACTGATTTCTCCCTTGATGAGTTAGGTGACCCGGTGTGCCTCAAGGACAAAGATGGTTCTCAGGTCTAAAGAGGCCAAGATACTTTCTCAACATCGAACAAAAAGTTCGGCCTGGATTTGCCAAACTGTTAAGAGAGGAGGGAGCTGCTTCCAGTCTTTGGGCTCTCTATGTAATTTTGATCTCAGACCCTAGAGGGCTGGATGGGGAGGCAAAGTTCAGAAGTTGGATGGTTTAGTACAGCACTTCCTGGGTGTTATGGCAGGAGTGAATTTCCTTGTCCCCTGCCCCTTTCACATTCTAACCAGCGTTAGACAGCATAGAAAGACCTGGATGTCCAGGACCTAGAGGAAGGCTATTGTGATTCACTTCACTTCCCTACTCCCAGGGATTAATCCAACGCCTGGCCCAGCCCTTCCTGACCACAGGTAAGCCAAGCTGCATACAGATGGCAGCCCCCTGGCTCACTTAGAAGTGTGGGGAAAACTGCCTGAAAGCACTGGCCTAACATCCCAGGGAATGGTCTGCATCCCCGGCATAAGCTGCTGCTCCATTTCTGCTCCCATCCCTGAGATGAGATAAGAGGGCTTCATTGAGTCAGCCATCCACAGGTTTCTTGAGTGTAAGGAAGCCTTTTCATTTAACGTAAAATGCCTCCAACTCTCACTCAAACGCATTCCTCTTGCTTTGCTGTCCTGAGGCATGACAGGTGTCCCAGCTTTTCACGTTGCCCCTCCCCCAAGAGTCCCTTCTTCATGTCCAGGGTGATTAAATGCACCAAATAGATGGATTAGACCCTTTCGTAAATCACCGTCAGGTTTGTGTGGCAGTTCTATTGGATTTTGCTCCCTGCATACAGTAGCTGTGTTGGGTTCTGCATACACCCGATAAGTCACGAAGCCTTTTCTCCTTTTCATTCTCACAGCAGCCTGGTGACTCAGGCTGAATAAGGGACACACTACCCGTGTGTTACAGATGAGGACACAGGCTGGACCAGGGCACGCAGGTGTCGGGCAAAGGCCAGGGTCAAACTTCTGACTCCAAGTCCAGTGTCCCCTCTCTGCCCATTATGCCCGCCTCCTGAGGGTGCTGCCTGGACTGGAAAAACCTCGAGGATGCTGAGAATCCTGTACAGAAGGAAGAACCAACCTAGAATTAAGTCGGGGCTGTGGACATTGCCCAGAATTGCTGATTAGGAAGTGAGCCTGCTTTCCACAGTGAGCCCTCAACTGTCAGCCTAGGACAGGACATCTCCGAGGCCCTGTAACAGTCTCAGCTTCTGCTGCAGACTTGCCATGATGTTTCTGGATATTACACACATGAATGCACACACAGGACATGGCTGCCACACAAAGTCAAGATGCCCTTCTTTACCCATGCAAAATGATGTCACCTCTCTTCTTCCTAACCTGGTCCTGGGGTGGGGGAACCACACCTGAACCCTTCAAATGAGTTCTGGTGCCTAGGGAAGGGAGCCCTTCATTCACAGGAAGCAGCACACGGTGGTTTGGCTTCTTGCCTGCTCCTGTGCCTCTCACAGCTTGGAGGAAGAGAGGATCCCTGTTACCACAGCAGTCAGCTTGTACACAATTTGTGGAACTGTGGTGACTTCCAGAAAACAAGGAAACTCCTCTGTCCCAGCTTCCAAGTGTCTGTCCCTATCCCTTCCTGAAGAGTGTTCCTAAATATGTCTAGGTTGCTTACCTGGGGACCTTAGCATGCCATCTGCAATGTGGTTCTTCTGCCACGGGAGACACAGTTGTTGACTGTGCAGTATGAAGAGACAGCTCTCCTTCATGGCCAGTTCCATAAGGGCCTAGGTTCTACTGTCCCTGGAGAAGCAGACCAGCCCAGAACTAGGTGCTTCTCGTCTGCCCACTGTACCCACTGGTGAAGACCTGCCAGCCAAGTTGTCTATCCTTCGCTGGGCTTGAGTTGAGCAGGTGCCTAATCATGGAACTGGGAGTGGCGGGAAGCTGCGTTCTAGGACAGTGCCTTTCTTTCCAGAGTGCTGTTGGTATCGTTTGATAAAAGACGACTGGGTAGGAAGGGGTGCCGTGGGCCTACAGTGAGCTTACTGTGAGATTCTCTCCAGACCGTCTCAGGCACCAGGCTTTCAGGTGCTCATGGGACCAGAAAAGTTGTCAAGGGTTGGGAGAACACCAGCAGCCCCCCTACCTTCCAAATTTTGCACAGAGGTCTCTCTGGACAGCCTTCTTCCGTGGGCATGCTGCCTCTTGTCTTTCTCTGGCTGGGTTTGTTCTCCAGACAGCTCCCTTGCTTTCCCTCCATCTCCTGTCTAGTATCTTCCCGGAAACACATCCGCCCAGAGGAAAAAGAAGCTGAAAAATCTCCCTCCATCTTTTACTTGCGAACTTTCTCAACCCCGCCTCACCCTCTCCCCCTAAGCCAAAGCAAGCCAGTTCCTTCCTCTGTAGAAGGGAGGGAGTTGGCACCTGGGTGAACCAAGAGCCCTGTGCCCAGCTCTTTACATTTGCTGAGCCCGGTGGAAAAGGGTATGTTCCACTAATATAGTGCCGCCTTTTGGATACCTCAGCTGGGTAGTTGCCTCCAGGAGCAAAATGGACCAAATGGTATCTGCAAATTTAGTCTTTTTTATTCAGAAACCCTGTTGTCCTGGTTGTCTGCCAGTACATTTCCAAATAAGCTATTCACTTGCTTTAAGCCTCTTTGCTCTGCCCCTTCCCCCCTTAACCCGCTTGCTCGATTGTCTTGTTTATTAATTTCAAAGGGACTCCTCTGCCCGAGGGCATCCAGAGGCAGCCGTGCCTCTTTCCTCTGCCCAGGCGGAAGCCAGGCCCAGCTTGGCTTTGTCCACCTTGGATCTTGTGTCCCCTTCTCAAGTGCAATGTCTTGAATCTCTTCTCGCTCCTATGACAAGTGCAGGGAAGAAAAAATCAATCCACTTATACGTTCTTCAAAGCCCTGGGAGAAGTGAGGTCACCCAGCTACAGGTCCCCAGGCCAGAGGGTCTCCACTCTTCAGATATTCTCTTTGCCATGGAAGGCAGCTGTTACAGGGCAGGGGAGAGATGCCGCAGGAGCTCGGAAGGGGAAGTGAGTCTTCTAAAACCTGAAGACAAGTGAGTGTCCATCACTCAGTCTTGGCTTCTTCAAAACATGCGAGCTACGGACTAGCAGCTGCCAGCCTCCCACTCACTGGAGGTTTCAAAGCCAATAAGAGCTTACTTTTACAATGGAAATTGTTTGGGTTTTTTTTTTTTGTAGGGGCTATTTTTTTGTTTTTCTAAGACAGAATCTCAGTGTGTAACCTTTGCCGGCCTAGAACTCGCTGTGTAGACCAGGCTAGCCTGGAACTCACAGAGATCCACCTGCCTCTACCTCCCAAGAGTTGAGATTAAAGGCGTGTGTCACCACCCAAGGCCTATGATGGAGATTTTAAAACAGAAAATAAAGTTGAGTCTACTAAGAGGCTGTAAAGCTGAGGCAGAATTCACCTGTTTGACAGGCTGGGGTCCTCACTAGGAAGGTGTGATGGGTTAGGGATAGACAAAGATGGAACTTCAGGTCCTGTCGCCTTTGGCCACCCCTCGTCCAGACACAGTGCTCAGTCTCTGTGGATGCTGGTCTCCCTCTGTAACCAAGGTGCATTCTCAGCTTGGTTTTTCCCAGTCTGGAGTTCCTACCTGAGACAATGTATGCGATCTGGCGCTTTGCTGTCAGCTGGTTTGGTTACTATGCTCTGCCTTCACACTGCTTTGTCTTTTTTTTTTTTTTTTTTTTAACAAAAGGAATAAAGTTAAAATCCCTCCCTCCCTTTCCTTCTCCTGCAGGAGGTGAGTGTGTGGGTATCCTGTTAGGACCATTGGCTCCACCCCAGCCTTAGCCAACCTTCAGGTTACCATTCCCACCCCATCCCTTCCCTCCATCCCCCTGCTCTGCACCCCAAAAGAGGACTCGCCCGCCATCATTCCTGTTATGTTAAAGACGCCCGAACTTTCCATGACATATGCCATCCTCTGACCACTTCAATACTGCCGACTTTCATGCAGGGTACAAACGGGAGGGGTAGGGAGGGAGGGAGTAGCCAGTGGGGAGGGGGGAAGGAGGAGGGATACAGAATAGAGATTTTTTTTTAATTTTATCTTTAAAAAAAGCCACACACATACAAATTTGTCATTTAATGAATCCAAAAACAAAGAGAAACAAAATGAAACACACACACACACACACACACACAAAACGAATCCAAAATCCCTTTCCCGAAGATTTTTTTTTTCCCAAGGACACAAAATTGCTTTTGTTTCCTGTCATGTTTTAATATCAATATTAACACAATGTGTAGTCTAAAACTAGTTCCTTTGTAGTTTGCATGGGATGTGAATGCTGTCTCAACGTGCCCAAATCTGGAGGACTGCATGAGCGTCAATTCAGATGTGAAAAAAAAAACTCTCTCTCTCTCTCTCTCTCTCTCTCCATATATATCTCTATTTCTATTGTGATAACTTGGTGGGCAATGAAGCACCCCCGGTTGGTTGCCATACTGTGTTGAATGATTGTTATTTTTTTTTCTTCTATCTATTTCTGGAGCTCCAAGCTTCTTAGTGGTAGCCTGGGCTGAGTATTCTTGAGTCCTTGCTGATGTTTTCGCATGGCCTTGGTTGAGTGTTAGAAGTTGGGCCTCAGCTGTTTTTTTTTTTCTCGAGTGTTTGGCTTGTAATGATCGGTGCATGCCTGGCTTCTGGCCTCATACCCAGCTCTATTCTCTGCACACCAGTCCTGAATAGCTACAGTGCTCAACCGAATTTTGGCGCGCCCGCTTCCCCGGCAGGCTCCAACCCGGCGCGGCCCGGAGGCTTCCCAGGGGCCAACAGCCCAGGACCCGTCGCCGATCTCTACGGCCCTGCCAGCCAGGACTCCGGAGTGGGGAATTACATAAGTGCAGCCAGCCCACAGCCTGGCTCGGGCTTCGGCCACGGCATAGCTGTAAGTACCTACCTCGCCGCCTTCCTGCCTCCTCCTTCCTCACCAACCCCACACAGCCCATGGGGAGGAGAGTCCAGGGTTAAGGACTGAGAAGAGACAGGGTGGCCCCCATCAACAGCAGGCCAGCTGAAGCTCCCATCCGCTGGCCCAGCCACGTAGCGTAAGGTGTATGGCCAGCTCTACTCACCATTCTGTCAGCTTTGGCCTTTGCCACCTTGAACCATTCATACAACCCATGGCCCTGGGTACAAAGTAAGAATAGGATATTTCCCCCTCCTCCTCAAAAAAGGGGGGAGGGTGGTGAGAATGAGCTGTAAGCCTAAAATCACATTGTTCTGGCAAATGGTAAGTCTGTGAGCCATTCCTCTCACCTCAGTGGCCAGAACCCCGCCTGCTGGCTCTTGGTGGCAGTAGTGCCTGGAAAGTGATAGGGGGATGTTCCCTTCCAGGCCATTCCTTTGCTAATGTTTCTTACAGTTTCTAGGTTCCAAGTAAGTTCCCAATTTCCGTTCTTTAGCTGCAGCCCCCCCCCCTTCAAGGCCAAATGCATTTGATATCTGTGATGCTCTGTGGTTCTGTAATCTGACTAATCCAGGCAATGGAAATTTGCTTAAGAGATTTGCATGCTGTTTTCAGATTGTATTGTTCTTTCCCTCCTGGTGTGTGAGCATGAATGTGCCTGAGCCCACTTGCTGGCAGTCCCCCCCCCCCTCCATTTTTGGGAACAGAAAACGGGCCAGTCTCTGCCCTAGCCAGCCTCACTCTTTTGGAGACAATTTGATTTTGAGTTGAGATGGGGGTGCCTGCTGTCCCAGATTACGTCCCACATCAGATTCTGTTTCTGGGAGAAAGAAGGCAAACTCTCTGTCTTGGGGACTATGCTGGGGAGACCAAAGCCACTGTGAGAGCCTGGGGGACCAAGGCAACTTCATCCATGCCTGCTGGCATTGGAGGAACACACATGCACACCACACACGCACAAACTCTGTCTTATACCTTCTTACACAGACACAGATATTCACATACTTGTGCATGTCAGCCAGCCCCTGCCCTGTGCTTCCTGAGCCCCCATTCAATTCCGCTCCAAAGCCAGTATTACTTGAATCAGTAGTTTGATGAGTCTAATCCCCTCGGATCAACTGTAGTACCAAATCCAGAACATTGTTATTCAGCCCAGAGCTGCATCAGTTTGGGGGCCTGTCACATCAGCCCTCAGAACACAACTCATTTCCATTTTCAGCAGCTAGAAGCACACACCATGTTTGTTCTTGAAAACCTGGGTCTTGGGACCTTCACACTCTGATGTTGTTTCTGAAATAATCAGAGGCCATCACCGTTGATCCGCACTGACATTTCTTCCCTTAGATGAATCTGTTGAGACTTAGGACAGAGATCCTTGTATTTTGCCATGTGGGGTTCATGGTCACTACGGGCATTGTTTGGGTCATGGGCCCCTCTGAGTCTGGCTCTTGGTTTCCCCTTGGAAAGCATACAAGCTTGGGTGGGGGGAATCACAGGGCAGGGAAGGAGGGAGCTGGGAATGGTGTCACCCCGATTCCCCATGGCACAGTGTCTCAGAATTACATATTCATGCTGGCAACCACAGACTCTAGTCTTAGAGGTGATCTCCTTTCCCAGAGTATGACAATCTGTTCCCATGTATAGCGCACTGATGACCTTAACAATTGTGCAATTTTAGGGCCCTTTGATTGCAACGGCCTTTACAAATGGATACCACTGAACAGGTGCTTCCGTTGCCATCTCACCCTGAGGTATTACCGTCTCTGCCATGCGTCTCCGCCCTGCCTGCGTGTCCGTACACATATGTGCCCTGCTCATACGTGTACACACATGCCCATCTCATCACATCACGTCTTTCTTCTCTCTCTCTCTCTCTCTCTGAACCCCTTTCCAAGGAAGTGGGGACAAAAAAAAAATCTAGTTTCTTAGTCTCTCATTTCTTCCTCCGGCTTTTAATCATGACCCTCATCGGCTTCCCCTCTCTCTCTCTCTCTCTCTCTCTCTCTCTCCTCTCTCATTTTGATTTGGTTCTTTGGGTTCCATTTTTGTATCTTTCCCACCCTCTTCTTTTTCTTTCTTGAGTGTGGGAAACTGGAAGGTGATCTCATATTGTGCCCATTCCAGGGAGATGGAGGCGGGTCAATTGGTCTTCTGCCAGTCCCAGGGCCAGGGGATGGGGAGCAGGGCCATTCTCAAGGTCCTATGAACTGACCCTGTGGGTTTCTGGGGCTCAACCAGTGGGGTTTGTGCAGCCAAACGGCCTGACTCCATCTTATACTGAAAAGAAAACATTTTTTTGCCAGTTAACTATGGAGTAATTATCAAGATTACCACGCGAAAAGCAAATTAAATTAACAGCATCACCTGCCTAACGTGAATTTGGATCCCTGCCAGTTTCTTAACCTTTTAAACTGAGCTCAAGTTAATTAAACATTTTGAAATCACTTTGATGGAAATACAGAGGTGGTGGGACAGAAGGAAACAGGGAGTGAGCAAGCCCCTTCCAGCATTCTCCCTCCAAAACTGAGTATCTGTCATGCTGGGGAAGAGCACCAGGCAGAAGGCTGTCACTCTCACGGAAGCCCAGGGTCTGTCCTGTGGCATAGAAGCTGGAGGCTGGAAGGCAAGTCACGTGTCTCTTAAGAAGAGGCCCCGGAATAGGTCCTACCTGGAACATCCCGTTAGGTGTTCACTCTTAGAGCTGGCTGGTGGGGCAGGGCAGCTCTGGGTTTGTCCTCTCTGGGAGGAATTGGGGAATTGCTCCTAGCCCCAGAGCAACTGAGACTGGGTAGATGGGGGCCATCCGAGAAACTCAGTTGAGTTGAGCTCCACAAATCTTTGAGATTCCTCCTGTGTTGCTGTTTGACTAACTCCACTGCCTCTCTTAACCAAATAAACCCTGTGTATGAACTTTCCCATCCCTCACCTCCGTTGCCCTCCATCACTGGTAGAGCCAGAAGCCACTAACAGTCTAAAGAGAGCTACTCGCTACTAATTTAGCTGGGTTTGGGGGCTTGGGGACAGTGAGGTTCCTCTGAAAACAAGGAGGACTGACAGCAGCAAGAATTCTGAGGGTTGAAGATGACTTCAACTATCAAATCAAGAGGGACTCAAAGACTGCCTAGGCCCAGCATGTCCTTGAGAGGCCAGGCCAGCCTCTAAGGCTGCCAGGGTCCACTTCTCACCCACAGTTCCCCCTCCTCATAAGCTTACCCTAGGGAAGGTAGAGGCTGGCCCCAGTCTATGTCCATCCACCAATGCGAAGTTTCAGTTTTTATATAAGGATAAAGTAGCCGGGAGAGCGACGGTTTAAAGCCACCCCTACCAGTCAACTTCCACGATTGCAGGGCAGCTGTGAAAGACTGGGCAGGAACCTCGTTTTTCTCCAGAAGTGACCCTCTGACATTGAGTACCATCCACGGAAGAGCCTGGGCCCACAGGCCATCCAGGATAACGCAGTTAGAAAACCTGAATCTTTGGGCCTCTTTTAGTTTTCTTGAACCAGAACTGGTTATGTGGTTTGTGGGGTTTGTTCTGTTTTTGTTTGAAGTTTTTACTTGCTTTTTAAGTAGTTACATCAGGCCCTTACTATATAATCTCTTAGTACAAATTCACATTTTCAGTCAATGGCAGTTTTTATTTGTTTGATTGGTTTTGTTGTTTTTGTTTTTGTTTTTGTTTTGTTTTGTTTTGTCTTTTGACTTTTCAAGACTGGATTCTCTGTGTAACTTGGCTGTTCTGAAACTTGCTCTGTAGACCAGGCTGGCTTCAGACCCACAGAGATCCGCCTGCCTCTGCCTCCCGAGTGCTGGGATTAAAGGTGTGGGCCACTACCGTTTTTTTGTTTTTGTTTTTGTTTCCCCCCCCCCCCGACAAAGCTTCAAAAGCAAAAATTTAAACAGAAAGGGAATTTCCTATCGACGTGTGATTTGACCAGCTAGCTGAAACCCATGCTGACCCATACTTCCCTCCATGAACTCGAGAGCCTTCCAGCCCTGTGTCAGGTCTGTCTGGCCCCTTCCCAGCATCAGACATGGCTTTAATACCTGGGTTACCACGCTGGGAAGTCAGCCATCAGCCCTGCCATTTTCATACACACACACACACACACACACACACAGTCACACAACCTAGTCCTTTGACAACCGTAGTCAAGACCTTGCAAAGAACCATACGTGGTGTGCCTGACATTTCTCTTTCTCCTCCATCCTGACCTCCCCGCCCTACAGAGCATACCTGGATGTCCAGGCAAGACTGGGCGAAGTTTCTGAGTGGCCCTTTGTTTAGGTGATGTCCTCAGACCTGGATCCCCACCAGCCTCACTCCTCATCCCAACCAGAGATGGCACACTTTGGATTGAGGGTTGACTACATCTCATCTCACCGACCTGCTGTACTATAAGACAACAGCTTTTAAACGTGTATATAATCCATGATTTTGGTTTGGTTCTGTTTGTTTTCCTTTGGTGGTCTCCCTCTCCCTCCCCTCTCCTTTCTCCTCTTCAGTCTCCCTGAATCACATTTGGTAGTGATTTTTGACTTAGTCTAGTGTCACCTTAGCTTAATATCTAGTTGAAAGCTAACCATAGTATACTTGTTATATATTAAGGAGTTTTCTTTTTTCTTTAAAAAAAAAAAAGAACTTTGTTTTGTTGTTTTGATTCCGTTCTCACTTTTAAAGGATGCTGAGATGGTGATGTTACTCTCCATTTTTGGTACCAATTCTGAGACTGTAAGAATTTTCATCTGGGACTTTGGCACACACTGAAGCAAAGCTGTGATGTGCGGAGCGGGAGGTGGGCGTAGACTCTGTTGCGTTGTAGAAGTGACATGCAGTTGGCTGCTTAACAGACTGACAGTTCATTTTTGTGACGTCTCTTTGTTAACCTAAGTCTATCTATTTTCGGCAATAAGGTAAGGACGGCCATGTTTTGAGCGCCTTCCTTTTCTATGAGTGCTTTTTTTTCTGTTCAAAGAGGTCATATTATAAGGTTTTTTGAAATTGTGAATTCTAAAAAACAAAAAACAAACAAAAAAATGTTGTAAATATAATTCCATTAACTACATAGAAACTATTAAGAAAGAGAGAATCAAAAATATTTTTGTGGGGAGTTGCTCCCAGGCAGTTAGGTGCCCTGGAAGGAGGGGAAGGGAGGGAACTTTGATGAAGCTGATGAACTACAGCAGGCGAGCACCCAGCTGCCAGGGCGACCCGAATTCCACCCTTAGCGCCTCTGTTGGTGTGATAGACCTAAGAACCGCATTAGCACCCTGCCAACCCAGCGACCTCTCAGTGCACAGCTTCCAATAGTAAGGTCTAGCTAGATTTTTATTTAAAATATGAAAAACTGCTTTTCCCAAGATGTTTTTTAAAGGAAAAAAAACAAAGCTACAATTTTAATATTTAACATATTTAAAGTTTCCAAGCACACCTGTTTTGGCTTAGGGGAAGGGCAGGGTTGGGGCATTCTTTTTCAGTCTTAATTTTTAAATATCTGATCATTTTATATTGTCCAGTCATTTCAGCACCTCCAAAGGTCCCGAGGGTACTCTGCCTCTCTCCTCACCCTGTCCCCCATCCTGCCCCCAGAGCGGGGGCCCACGGGCCAGGAGCGGATAAGCCTGCATGAATACATCCTTTCTCCATCCACTTTCTATTTACAAATTAGGAAAGCAACCTTTCAGTTTATATATATATATATATTTTTATTTTGATACCTCAGTGCTGCAAGTATCATCAGAGAGGCTATGGAAGAGTTTTTTTTTAATTTATTGTAGATGTAAACAGAATTTTAAATAAAAAGTATAAACATCACTGCACTGTGACTGGTGGGAAAAACTGACCGTTTCCTGTTTGCACATGCCTGACATTGGCTGTTAGAGTATATGGTCCTCAGCTGGGGAAAGACACGTAGGATGAAGGATATTTTTTAATTTAACTTTTTTTTAAAAATATTGGTCATAAGTCGGCAACAGCAACTGTCGAAGTACAACTCAATAGGTGGCATTAAAGCATATTGTAGTGTGGATATATATTTTTTCTTTTTTAAAATGTGATATTGACATTTTATTAATATTTTTTAAATTGTTACGTTTATAAATTTGGTACTTAAGGCACAGCCAGTATGAGACACTGAATGCGACGTTTATAAAGAGCTGCTGCACTCCTATTTTTATGAATTTTACTAACACGTAGACTACGTAGACATTCACAGACATGGTAGCGCAAAGGCATCAGCAAACCAAGTCTCCGGAAAGCTCACTCAGAAAGGAAAGAAGCCTGCTTCTGTTTTAACGAAATGCAATGAAAGAAAGAAAGAAAAAGAAAGAAAGAAAGAAAGTCATGTTCTTTGTTTTTAAAATAAAATTCTGGGTTGTTTGGGAAGGTTTTGGGTTTGGGGTGTTTTTGTTTTGTTTTCGTTTTAAGTTTCCAAACAACTAAACCAAGTAAAATGCTGGATGCTTTTAAAATACAAAACTTATTCACGTTATAAAAATAACAAAATAGATGTTTTATTTAAAAAAAAAAAAACAGCGACAAAGAGAAAGAGAGACACTAAATCCCAGCAGTTCGGTGTCCAGCTAGGGGTAATGACTCTTTGTCCGCGTTGGTGATGTCTGTCCCCGCCCCTGTCCATTTCTCCACATCCCCATCACCTCATAGAAGACTCTTTGTTGATCATCGTTTGTTAATAATGTATAAAATGGCTATCTTGTAAGTGTGCTGTCTTGGTACTAGCGTAGTAACTTTTTTTCTCCTCTTTCTTCTAGTACATAGGTATAACGTAATTAAGGTTTTAAAAAAAATTAGACATAGTTATTCAGATTTAGGACCAGTAAGGATAGAACTTTCTCTTATTTATGAAAAGAAAAAATGCTAATAATTTGGGGGCAGTTTTTTCCTTTTTTTTTTTCCGAGTTCAAATTTAATTTTATTTTTACTGATTTGATGTGGTTTCAACTAACCCAAGGTCTCACAATGTTCAAATGCCGGCCGACTCTCCGGCGTTTTGTAGGTCCCCGCCCCCCTCTCTGTGAAGGGGTGTGCCATACTACCTTAAATGCAAACACTAGATATGCAAAACTGGATTTTTTTAATTTATTTTTTAAAAGAGGGAGGCGTGGTATATTAAAATGATTTTACTAAGAGAAAAAATATTTTTTTAAGGATGCTCAGAAGAAATTGATAATCTGTGTGAATATGTTTTAGATGTTTATATGCATTTTGAAGAGACCCAGTAGCCCATAGCACAAACCTTGTGAACATCTGATATGTTTTCAAGTGGCTACCTAGGTTAAGGTTAACATTAGTCCCCCACTTCCTCATCTAGAAGTCCATTTTAAACAATTTTTGTAAATTCTTTTAACACTGATGTCCATCCTTGTCTTTGTTTCAGTTAAGCTCAGGAGTGAATGTGGGGACCGGCTCTCACCTTCCTAGGGGAGAAACCCTCTTGGCTAATGGCTCTTCCCTGGCATTACCAAATAACCACCAGGGGATTCTCTGGCTTCCAGGTCCATCTGCCTGAGACCCCCGAGCTCCTTACCTCCCAGTGGGGGAGATGGAGCGACTCCTGGTCCCCTTCCTACTTCAGCCTGGATGTGGGGCTGGTGGAGATGACCAAGCCTGGGTCTCCTCCGCAGGAGTCTCTGCATGTGTGGTTCGTGGCCTTCCTCACACCCATTGGGAAAACCAAATAGCCTCACACTCTTTCCCCACCGCTCATTGGCTTGATTCAAACGAAGCTCCAACAGGCCTTTGTGGGTTTTTTTTTTTTCCTTCATAACCATTCTCTTAATTTGAACTTGTAGCTTGGGCTTTAAGGTAGCATGGCTCGATTGCTGTCAACGTCATGTTTCGCGGCACTGCAGTCCACAGCCAGTGAATGTTACACACATCTTGCTAGACTAGTATAAAACTCATTGGGTAATTGTGGGTTCTAATGACCTGAAAGGTGTTCAGTTTTCTTTGGGGGGGGGGGTGGTTCTTTTTCTTTCGTTTCTTCTTTCATTTGAGAATTTTTTGGCGGGGGGGAGGAAAGTATTTTTTGGTTCCAACTAGAAAAACAAAAGCTATTTTGGTCTTTAGTGGAAACGAGGGCTAGGGACTTGGCCTCCACCACCACTACCACTCTGCTTCACTCTGCCGCTCTCTCGCCACAGCATCTTCAAGACTAAAGCAATATAGTTTACTTCATTCTTTTTCATCGAAGGTCAGCCATGCTTTCTGTATTATATTGCATATGAAATTGTTTACAAAAGAAACACTAACTCATACTTCTCTCTATCAGTCGGAAGTGACACACAGGGACAGGGAAATTAGAGGGCAGGTGGGGGGGGATTTTTGTTTTTTTGGTTTTGGTTTTGGTTTCTCTTCTTGATTGTGCTTTACTAACCACATCCTCCAAGGAAGGCAAAAGCCAGCCAGGCGGAGAGAGTAGAGGAAGAGGGGCAGGCTGCGGGTAAGCACATTAAACAGAGACACTGGGAAGCTCCCCCACCCTCAGCTAGGGCAGAAAACAAAGGTTAGCAAGTCCAGGCCTGGGCACAGACACTACACAAGGCAATGCTGGTAGGAAAGCAATACTTTAATACTGCTTACGTTTGTTTTCTTCTTTCTTTCTTTTTTTTTTTTCTCTCACCGAAAAGAAATAAACTAAAAGACAAAAACAAACAAACTAAAAATCATATAAGTAAAACCCACCCCTCTCGGGGAAGAACCATAATTCAAACATGGCTATTGAATAATCAGAAGGTATTGTCTCAGATAGGATGTCATGTCCGGGAGGCAGGGCACGAGGGGGGAAGGGAGCGGGACTGGGAGGCAGTTCCAGAGCCTCTGTGGAAGGCTCCTTCTGCTGTATTCTGTACATACTGTACCACCCCGTGTGGAGTCTGTGAGTGTGCTCTTGAGTAGCGTGGGCTAGCCAATCTGCCATTCATGGTGTGACAAACTCAGAATTCCATATGTAATAGGATGCAAGTCTAAGCGTTTCATGTGGACATAAATGTATCTAAATAAAACTTCCCCTAGCACTGTGGCTGACCTCACCCTTACTTTTATACTTTAGTATGAAACTGATGAGAACTTTGGTAGTGAGTATTTTTTTTATATATATATACATATATATGTATCTATATATATATATATCTCAAGCATCTTTCAGGTCTTTGTGTGTGGCTTTCTTAAAGCCCTGTTGTACAAAAAAATAAAATAAAATTACTATGTGGATGGCAGTCTCTCACATCACAGATGTGGAAAGTATAATTTTATATTTGTATTTTCAAATAAATAAGTTTGTGAAAGGTTTCCATCCTCTACTGTGGTCCAGAAATCAATGTGTTTGTCTGACAAAAAAAAAAAAAAAAAGAATAAAATAAACTGTTTTGAACAGAGTCGTTTAGTGTTCTTGCGCTTGCAGAGGTGGGGGGCAAGCAAAACTGCTGTTGGGTTTGGGGTATCACTGAGTCGCACCTTCATACTCTTACCCCACAGCGTGAATGTTAGTCATGTGGTGTCCAGCCAAAAACGGGGGTGGGGGGGCTTTTTCCTGTCCCCTCAAGGAGCCAGTTTTGTAGAGTGACCAGAACGATAGGATGGAAGAGCAGACCCGGAACTAAGTCCTGTGCAGTGGAAGATGCACAGGACCTGGGGGCAGATCCGTGGTCCTTGGTGGTCTTAGGACCCAGGTGAAGGGAAGGTACAAAAGGGGTCAACTGGTTGACCTCCTTGCTGGCTTGAGACACAGTAAGGGAGTAGGCCCCAAGGCAAACTCCAGGAGTCTGGAGCCGGTGCTGAAAGGATGTCTGGGAGCTTGGCCTCTGCCCTCAAAGACTTCAAAGTTACCTTAATGGAAATAATTAGGATCACAGATTGATCCCAGAAGGATGGATCATGGGTAATCCTTGCCATTTTCTTATTATAGAAAGAAAAAAGAACAGAGGCCCAGCTCCTTAAGGGCAAATCCATGTCTTGGTGGTAACAGGTAACAGGCATGCCTGAATCAATGGCGTGCCTTGGCTACGGGGCCCTGGAGGTAAACAGCTTGCCATGAAATTTGTACGGGATGAATTGTGGGCCCGAGAGTTTCCCAGTAGCGGCTTCATGGGGGGAGGGACCAATTTAAAACAACAACAACAACTGCTAGAGTTTCCCTCCAAGTTCCTGTCTCCTGCTTTTCACTTCATGCTAAGGGCTTACACCCAAATCCCTCTGAGGCTTCAGACTAGAGCCAAGCCTGGCTTTGGTGTCCACAACTCTACCATGTTCCGAAACACTGGGAGATTATAAGGAGCCGAGAAAGCCCTGAGTGACTGTGCAAAGAACAGTGAGGGTAGACGTGTATTGTTGCCATGGGTGTGGCCTTGTCAAGGACCATTGCAACAGACCTGTGGGAAACTGGCAAAGTCTTCATCTTGGCCCAGTGTAAATGCTCTTGGTTTGGTTTCTCTGTAGCTTTGGAGCCTGTCCTGGAACTCAACTCTGTAGACCAGGTTGATCCCGAACTCACAGAGCTCCACCTGCCTCTGCCTTCGGAGTATAAATGTTGACAGCATGTGCGAGGGTTTAGTAACGGCTGCTCGGTGTGAACAAAGAGCAACTGCTTCCTTCTGAATGTCTGCCTTCTGAGGCTCCTCGTCCACAGAGACCTCCTACGCAGACCGGCTGACTCCTCCCCCTGCGCTGTACATAATGAACATGCTGAGGTTGCTGCAGTAATCAGTGCCAAACCCTTAGAATGTACACGGCCCACCTGACCCTAGCTTTTCTGTGTCTGTGTGTCTGTCCTCCCTTTATTTCCCCATGGCCCCAACCAGGTTTTCAGCACCAAGCCTTTTACACACAGCAGGAAAAGAATCATTCCTGTGTCCTGTGTAGGCTGAACTAATGCCAGCAGATTTCAGAATCCCAGGAGTTCTGAGCAGGGGAAGTGAGCGGGCTCCTGAGAAAGTCCATCCCAAACATCTTCCTCATCCACATCGCTCAGCTTGAAGAAATCCAAGGTCCAGCCCCTGCCCAGGGGCCTGAATAGAGAGCAGGTGAGTAGGGGTGCAGTGATGCTTCAGCCTCACCCCTGCATGTGCTGCAAGCTCTGGTGGTCAGAGCATTTCAGGGTCACTGACCCATGCCATGACCTCACAACTCCTGAGTGGCCAGAGGACATCCCTTGTGTGCGCAGAACACACAGAAGGCAGAAAAGTACAAGGTGACGGGGAAAATAAGCAAATGTAAGATTTAAATAGGAACAAGAAGGAGAACGTCCATGCCTGACAAAGATAAAAGTGTCCAGCAGGGCATCCTGTAATGACAAGATGCAGTCTTTTAAGGATGCTCGAAGGTGACAAGCCCTAGCAATACATTAAAAATGGAGAGGCATTTTAAAACTTCCTAAAAAGTTATCGAAGCCATTAAGAAGTGGAAGGCTATAATACACTGACCACAAAGGGTACAAATAGAGTAGGTGAAGGATTAATACTGGGAAAACTGACTAGCGCCAAGGAGATTACAAGTGAGCTTAATTTCTTTAACTGATGTGTCCACTGCTAAAACTCAGCTGCAATGATAGAAAAGTACAGAAGACATTTCTGCCTTTAGAACACATTGTCTTGATGTCAAAACTTAAGATGTGTGCATAGCTAAGATTTCACAAGGATGTAACTGCAGACTTTAGGAATTCAGATGCCAACATACCAAATATGGTTTTAACAAGTAAAGTCAGGGTATGTTGGGGTAATAAGACCAACTAGAACTCCTTCCAGGAAAACAAGGACATGCCAATAACAGGAATCTGTCAATCTAAGTCACCATATATAAATAAAAGAGAAAACGACACCATAACTATGTGTTTAAAAACCACAGCTGTGATTCCTAATTAAAACACTATAGAAATAGGAAATGAAATAGTTACATACCGTATAACAAAAACTATTTACCAAGTCCAACTTAATCAGTATCCTAAACGGTATTTCAGTTAAAATACCCAGCTTCTTGTGGATTATTTTAAGATATATTACATTTGTTTATGCTGGGAAGCATTTGTTTAATGATGCAAAGGTGTGTTGCATTCTTTCATGTTGCATTTCTTTAACTGAAACTGTTACTTTGCCTGTCTAAAACACCTGATTAGTCTAATAAAGAGCTGAACAGCCAATAACAAGGCAGGAAAAAGGATAGGCAGGACTGCCAGGCAGAGAAAATAAACAGGAGAAAAAGAAGATCAAGGAGCAAGAGAGATCAAGTAGCAAGAAAAGGGGCCAGCCACACAGCCAGCCATAGAATAAGTGTGAAAGTAAGAAGTAAGAAAAGAAAAAGACCCAGAGGCAAAAGGTAGACAGGATAAGTTAAGAAAAGCTGGCTAGAAAGAAGCCAAGCTAAGGCCAGGCATTTATAAGTAAGAAAAAGCCTCTGTGTGTTTATTTGGGAGCTAGGTGACAGGCCCCCACAGAGAGTAAAGAGTAAAAAAACATGTAATGATTATAGTGGTCTGTGAAGTTTGTCCTTCTATGTTCTACCTTTTTCTTAAAAATAAATAAATGAAAACATTACCAGGGCTAGAAAGATGGCTCAGCGGAATATGAGCACAGGCTGCTTTCCTAGAGGGCCAGAGTTTGATTCCCAGCCCCGACTTGGCAGGTTACAAACATCTATGACTGCAGTTCTGGGGTTTCTGAATCAGCTGGCCTCTGGAAGCACTGGGCACACATGGTGAACAGACACACGCAGGCAAAACTCCCATTCACATAAAAGCAATAAGACAGAAGAGCGCTACTAAACTATAAGCTCCTCACCCTTAGACTAACACAGTCCTCAATTCAAAGACTTGGGAGCTCTGTCTTTTCTGTAACATAAGCCAGCGGAACACTCAGTCCTAGTTCCTCCTCTGCTGCTGGAATAAATACCTGGCAAAAGCAGCACAGGGGAAAACGGGCGTTGTTGCTGCTGTTTTGCTGTCTTAAGCTCACAGTCCATTGTATCAGAGAAGCCACAGTGGCAGGCTCTTGAGGGAGCTGGTCATGTAATGTGCATCCTCAGGGACAGAGAGCAGTGAATGCATGCATGCTCACCCTCTGTTCATGTTCTTCGCCAAAGCCCAGGGAATGACGTTGCCCACAGTGGTCTTGGTCTTCACATCAATTAGCATCATCAGTACAATCTCCCAAAGACATACTCACAAGTCAGCCTGATCTAGACAATCATTGAGGCTCCCTAGGTGATTCTAAAATTTGTCAAGTTGACAAAACTATCCTTTAAATGGGAAAGGCTTTCTTAGATTAAGTTCATCAGACACCCGAGGAATTGTCCTCCCATTTCATACCAAATGCTAAGGAAGCAGGCACTCTTAGGTCGTGGCCTGTTGGGACCCTGTTCTTGTAATAAACCATCTGTATCAATTACTTTCCTATTGCTGTGATGAAACACCATGACCAAGGCAACGTAAAGAAGGAGGGGTTTATTTGAACTTACGGTTCCAGAGGGATAAGAATCCATCACTGCTATCATTCATAAAGACGGGTGAGTGATCCAAGGTCAGTCCCACGAGGGGCAGCGGCGGGTCCCCTGGCGGACCTGAGACAGATAGATATGCCATGCAGAGAGAGCTGGGGTATAGAGTTTATTTAGTGGGTACTAAATAAACCAAGTGGAATGGCATAAGGGTTAGAGGTTATAGAAGGGGAAAGAGAAGGGGGGTTAAGAAGAGGTTAAGAGAAGGGGGGACAGAGAAAGGAAAGAGAGGGGAGAGAGAAGAAAGAAGAGGAAGGGGAGGAGGAAGAGAAGCAGTAGCTACCTCTTCTGGAGAAGAACAGAAAGAGAGCAGGATGGAGAGGAGGGGGGGCAGAGGTTGGGAGTGGGTGGAGCTTATCTCTTAAAGGGACAGGGTACCTAGCAGATTACAATAATCACCATCATGGTGGGGGAAGCATGGTAGCAAACAGGCACAGTAGCTCAAACAGCTAGCTGAGAGCTCCCATCTTCAAAAGGCAAGGATAAAGCAGAGGGAACCGGGATCGGCTCAAGTCATTAAGCTCTCAAAGGCTGCCCAAGTGCCATACTTCTAACAAGGCCACATCTCCTAAGACTCCCTAAACAGTGTCACCAACTGGGATCAAATATTCAAAGCCCAACACTACACAGGACATCTCATTCAAACCGTTAAACCATCACTCCTAAGTATAAATACAATTGCTCTCCCAACTTCTCATTCAGTCATCAACCCAACACATGAGCCAGCGCCTTTCACAAGAGGCTCACCGGGCATGTTAGATTATAAAAAGAGTTAATTTTGGTTCTGTAAATGCATGGAGTCTGTG